GCCTGATGGGACTTTCCATGTTGTGGGGAGGCAGGTTATTGGTTGATAGTTCAATGGTGCTGTTCCCTTGTGGGGGTCTTTCATGATCTGCACTGTCCTTCCGTGTCTGGGTGGGAGCCTGGTGCTAGCAGCTGGTTCATCTGTGCTGCTAGGCATTCATGCACTGCTGTTAGTTTCTTTAGCCAGTAGGTGTGGATCATGTCCGGGCCAGGTACTGTCCAGCTCTTCATGTTCTTGATCTGCTGTTGGATGTCTATTACTGTGATGGTGACTGATTCCTGTTCTGGGAGATTGCTGTGGTTTGCTTTCAGGTCCTGCAGCCACTGGTGTTATGTGTCTTCTGTTTCCCATATATTCTTCCAGTACTGTTCACTTTCTGCTGTTGGTGGCTCTGCAGTGTTGTTGCACTGCAGTTGGGTATACACCTTGGATAGTTCTTTGGAGAATATCTTCTTGGCCTCTGGTTCTTTAGTGTATCTTCTTAGTCTGGTAGCCAGTGCTGTGAGCCTTTGTTTAGCAGTCTCTGAGGCTTCAGATGGAGTCAGGCCTTTGCATTTTTTCAGTAGCCGAGTCCTACCCTTAATCTCCACACCCTTCTGTAGTTCCACCAGCTGACTAACTTCTCTCCAAGTTGCCTTGATCTTAGTCTCCAAACTCATTTTCCAGGGGGATATGTACTGCTGTTCTTATTAATCGTGTGGCCAAGCATCTCCAGGATTACAGTGGCTATAGCATATATTAGTTCATTGGTTTGAGTTATGGTGGTAGTGGGGATTGTCATGAGAGCTCTATTGGCATCTTCTAGCATACTATCTGATAGTACATCTCCACTGAGCCTTGGGAATCAGTCTTGAGGGTTGACTGTAGCTAGTTTATCCATCATCTTATGCTTCATATCAGCTGCTGTGCTCTGTAATGGAGGGGATGACAATGACATTCCAGCTTCAGATGTTGGCTGTACATCCAGTTGTTCTTCTGCGTCTTCTTGAGTCCAGGATATAATGTGTAGAAGGTCTATCTCAAGTTGTGAGAGCAGCTTCCTCTTCACTATGTTGAAGCATTGGGTAACTAGCTGTTTCTCAGTTAGTGTGGATGTAGGTCTTCTGTCTATCCACAGTACCCTCATACATTTC